AMCSRWTTTTTTTAAATTATAATTTTAAATTTACACTTTATACYTCTATAATTAGTTAATTAATTTACTTTACGTCYTTTACTTTCAAATGTTTAATTTTAAACTTTTATCAAATTAATATACATAATCATATATCAATTAAAACATGTTTAAAAAATACATTTTTATTTTAACTAGTTACACCATTATAATCGTTTCGTTAATACCTTCGAAATGAGTCCAATATTGAATAGTTTTTAACTTAATTATATTATTATATATATTGTGAAAAAATATTTTTAATATTTACGATTTATACTTTTATAGTTATTTATTTATATATATATACTATATATTTTGGGGTTAGGCTATCCAAATTGTATCATATAATATGTTTTTGGGTTTTTTTGAAATATATATATATATATACATGTAACCTTAATATGAGTTTTTGGACAAGAAAGAGAGTAAACAGTTGAAATTTCATTCAAAAACCCATCTTTTTTGGTCTTTTCATGGCTTATGATCTGTCAAATTTGTAGTTTTCTTTATTGGTTTTGAATGTTTATCTTAAAACTCAAGTTTCTTGGTTCTTTGCTCTTGGTGTAAATCGAACACATTTATGGAGTCGTTTAAATATGCTGGATTTTAAATATATTGGATTTATTCTGTCATACAATTTTTTTCATCGATAGTCTATAATTTGAACCATAACTCTTATTTATTCAACTTGTATTAATATGTAAAGACCAAGTGTAACATATATCATTGTTAAATCTTATCTTATAAAACCAGTGGAACTTCAAAATCGTTAAAATTCACGGCTCCCGCCGCATTGCACGGGTACACAACTAGTACCCTCTAAATGGTTAAGACTTTTGTGTAACCATCAAGAGGCTTTTTTTTTCCTAAACATATTTTATCTCTGATCGTTTAAGAGGTTGGTTTTTAATGTCATTATTAAGAACCAAACAAACAGCCCCTAACAATAGGATAACACTAATAATTAAAGGATGTTTGACCATTGCTGAATGATTTGGTTCAGAATGATTAACAAGCTCTTATGATATAGTATAAAATGAAATATAATTGCTTGATAATTGTGTACAATGAAATTATGGCTGTTAAGGGAGATCCAACATATAAAATCATTCAGATGGCTTTAGAATCATTAAGAGACAAACTCTTTTTTTATCAAACAAGATTCAATTCTTAACGATTCAGAGGTTGTCTCTTAATGGAACTATTAAGAGGTAAACAAACAAACCCTAACTACAAGGGTGGTGTCTGATTGGTTTGAGCTTGACTCGAAATGTCAAAAGTATCAGGAGATCTCAGGTTCAAATCCAAGGAGGAATAAAAATCCTCTTGTGACCACATAGGTTCAAATGCGGTGACTCCGGGCTATCTGCAAAGCATGTGGTCGTCCTGGGATTAGTCGGCTCGTATAGCGGGTTGAATATCTAGGTTAATAAAAAAAAACAAGTAGTTTAAATAGTTTTTAGTATCTGGATGGAAAAAAATGTTTATACAGATGTTAAACTGGTAATAAGAAGTTTTTGATAAGTTAGAACCTTCTAACTTAATATAACTTATCAGTTTTGGAAATCAATTTACCATTTTAACCCTAAACCTAACACCTTCTCACTACATTTGATTATGAGTTAAAACCTCTCGTGACCAGCTTCTCCCTTCTCTGCAAAAATCGACCTTCTCAACTTCTACGTAATTCAATGTTTCTTCCATTCCATTAACAGGTTTTCGCCTCCTTTTTAGGTTAGTTTATGGGTCTTTATTAGTGTAAGGGAGAGTGAACCGGGTAGTGATAAGTACAAAGTAATATTTTTTTGGTCATTTTACATGTATAAGTAAAATTTGTCAAACACTAAAAAATAACTTATCAGCTTATTACGTTTTGTCACCGTCATAAGTTAATCCAAACACTTTCTATAAAAACTTTGGTTTAACACCACGTACGTTGATAAGCACTTTAAAAAAAAACCTTAAGTTGTTCTAAATAAGCAATCCCAAACACCCCCTAAAATTTCTAAAACTAATTATATTCAACTCCGATAGATTATGTATTTTTAGAGATTTTAACATATAATACATATTATAATATTTTCTAATTTAATAATTATAATTTAATTTTTTGATGGAATTATATAAGATAATAATTTCTCTCTTATAATATCAAGTTTTATAATAATAATAATAATAATAATAATAATAATAATAATAATAATAATAATAATAATAATGACATATTTGCATGGTTATAAATAACTTGTTACGGTGCATTATGGCACCAAGGCTCGGGTTTGCTGCCACGTTAACCATGTGGCTCCACTCTAAGGCTTGCCTTCAATTGTAACGTGTTGTGACGTGTTAAGGCACATTATTTTATAAGGCATGGATTTTTTAATCAATATTTTTAAACATATTAGTTGTGTGTCCGGGCAATGCAATGAGGGTGTGAAATTTTATTGTAGGTTAAAAATTGGAAAAATGGTGTAATTGTTTTTCGTTAAACTATTAACCAAGAAAACCAATTACAAACTTATGTGAGATCGACAAGCCAAGGTATCCTAAAGTTGTACTTTATTATTCCTTCACATTTTCAAGTAGGGATTTTGTGTCGGGCCTGATTTCTCAAGTTTTCTCATTCCAACATTATGGAGTATAACGTCCAAATATTGTAAAGCTATGGTGAAACCGGAAAGGTGTTATTAGCATTAGAAGGCAGCACAAGAAAAAGGGTCATGTTATATGTTGTTCTCACTTCCAAATGTGACAATTAACACTCGTCGGTTGTGGTTTTGAGGTTCAGTTAAATCACAGTCATAAAGAGACTGATGATGTTAGGATGGTCAAATTTCAGCTTTTCCAAACCTTTTTCATATATACGTAGAAAAAAAATGCTTGCAAGCTACATGAGTTTTGCTTTAAATTTCTCTCTCTATATATACATATATATATATATATATATAGGGAAGGATTCAAACGAGAACACATTTATTTTACGAGAACGCGAGAACACCCTTTTACTATAGACAATCACATGTGATACTATTATTTCATCACATATGATACATATGTGATACTAAATCAGAGACACAGACGATTTTCTATGTGATCTTGGTTGCGGGCCAAGTCGCTCTTACACCATTAAGGCCATTCACAAGTATTATCACATGTGATAAGGGCGTTGTTGATAAGATACTATAATTCATCAATACCATCACATGTGATGCTAAATCATAGACGCATACAACCTTTGGCGCGACCTAAGTCGTAGAAGACGTCGTCCGCACATCACATGGGCCCCTCACGCGTATTATCACATGGGATAAGTGTGTTCTCGCGTTCTCATAAAATGGAGGTGTTTTCGTTTGAACCTCCATCAATATATATATATATATATAAGGGCCTAATCAAATGAGAACTGATTAGTTTGTGGTAACTGTGAGGTCCACTCTCAACCACAAATCAACGGATAAATTAGAAAATTAATAATTATGGTAGTTTGAGTTACAATTATAATTAGATGGCATATTATGTATTTTTTTAAAACTCCTCTCTCCGACCTCCAATCTCCGGCCTCCGGTGAAATCGGTATCACAGTATATCACAATGGGTATCACATTGTGTATCTTTGTTTTTAAGGTTT